CCATTACTCTTAGTTGTTGAGACCTGTTCCCAAGGGCCTATGGTTGCTGCTGGTTTTCATGTCTGGCATTTGGTCACATTGTTGATAACGCCGGCTATTAGAGGAGGAACAGAAAGGATAATAAGATCCCAAATTGGACTTGGTTCCTTGTTTCAGGTATTTCTGCACTGCCTTGCACCCACACTCCTCACGTGATCAACAAAAATTTTAGGACATGATATTTGCCCCAATTTGTAAATTTCTCTTTGATTTTTTTTTCCTTTATTGCCACAGAGATTTTATAGCATGGAAAGAGGGCTTTAGGCTCGTTGTATCCAGCTCGGTGATCAATCATTCGTCTGTTCTCATTCTGTTTTCAAGCACTTGACCCACAGTCTTGTAAGTGATTACATTCCAAGTTTTCATCTACATAGTTACTCAATGTTTTGAGGGTTTCCGCTTCTATCACTCTTTTAGACAGGGAATTCCAGATACCTACAAAACTCTGGGTGAAAAAAATTCCCCAATTCCCCTTGAAACCTCCTGCTTCTTAACTTAGGCCTATGCCCCCCCGTTATTCTCCTCTCTTCTAAAGGGAAAAGTTTTTCCCTATCAATCTTGCGTGTGCCCCTAGGAAGTATATACACCTCAATAAGATCCGCCATCACTTTTCTCTGCTCTCTCCTTCCACTTTTGGTTGATTGCTGTTCTTCATTCTGCATGAGAGTACTTTTTTGTTTCTTTACATGTCCAATTACCAATGTATTTGCTCTTGAACCACGAATCCTTGTGTCATTTAATCTCTCCTGCCTTGTACTCTATCACAGACGTTGCTTTTTCTATCCTTGCTCTTTTCACTTGCTAAACTAGATTTCTAACTTTTCACAGTTCTGATGAAGGATCATGGGAACATAGAAACATAGGAAGTAGGAATGGGAGCAGGCAATTGAGCTCTTCGAGTCTGCTCCACTATTTAACATGATCATGGCTGATCTTATCCTTGTCTCAACTCCACTTTCCTGACTGCTCCCCAAAGCCCTTATCCCGCTTGTCATCAGAAACAAATCTATTTCTTTCTTGAAACTGTTGGTTGATTCTGCCTCCACTGCATTCTCGGGCAGTGAGTTCCACTGATGCACAACTCTCTGAGAAGGAGTTTCTCCTCATCTCAATTCTGAACCTACCTCCTCACACTCTATATCCATGACCTCTTGTTCGAGACTGTCCCACAAAGGGGAGCATGTGCTCAACATCCACCTAATCAATCCTCTTTAGCATTTTATATACTTCAATCAGATCCTCCCCTCATTTCTCTTATTTCCAGCGAGTACAAGCCCACGCTATTCAACCACTCCTTGTACAACAGCCCTTTCATCCCTGATTGTCGAGCTGAAAGATTGGGCTAAATTTTCCCCACCTTGCAGAATTCGTCTTAGTGGGTGCGGGGTAGTATAGAATTGGTCACATTGGTCTAGCTCTGTGGCACATTCCTGCTTTTGCATGTTTTGTCTGGGGACAGGTACCCAGGACAACAGCTACCAGCAGGGTTGGTAGCCAATTGGAATAGTCAGCAGGGTGATCAGTCCCTATAATAGATTGAAAATTCCCCAGCAACTCAAGGAGGCCAACCCAGCTGTGTCAGGACACTGCCAATGTAGTGGAGGAGCTTCATGATTTAGAATTAAGACATGGAAGGAATTTTATTTATTTGTTAGTGGTAAATCAACTATGCTCAGGCATCCACCAGGGGAAAGATATGTCATTGCAACCCTTCATGATGTCTCAGTTAATGTCACATCTGCTGCAATGGCAGTTATTCTAACCTTCACCCTAACCTTCCTACTCAAGAGGTTTCTTGGTGGCACTGATGTCACTCCTGGTTGCAGACCCCTTCAACACCACCCCCTCGGAAGGGCAGAATGACTTACAAACATATATTTGAATTAGGAGAAGGGGCCATTCAGTCCCTCGAGCCTGCTCTACCATTCAATAAGATCATGACTAATCTGATTGTAACCTCAAATCCACATTCCTGCCTCACCCTGTTGATTTCTTACCTCTTTGCTTAACAAGAACCTACCTCTGCCTTAAAAATATTCAAGGACTCTGCTTTTGCCACCTTTTCAGGGACATAGTTTCAAAAACTCACTTAAAAGCAAAATACTGCAAATGCTGGAAATCTGAAACAAACACAGAAAATGCTGAAGAAACTCTGTACGTCTGGCAGTACCTGTGGAGAGAAACAGTTAATGTTTTAAATCCAGAAAGATTCTTCGTCAGAACTGAAGTACTAAACTTCATTCCTGAGAAAGAGCTCAGAACCACAGATAACGCCAGGCCTGCTAGCCAGAATTTTCTGTGTTTGCAAAAAGACTCATGACCCTCTGAGAGAAACAAAGTCACCTGATCTCTATTTTAAATAAGCAGCCCCTCATTTTGAAACAATGAGCCCTAGTTCCAGGTTCTCCCATAAAAGGAAATGTCCTTTGCACAAGTACTCTGTCAAGACCCTTGTAGATTTTATATTTCAATTAAGTTATCTCTCATTCTTCTAACGTCCTGAAAATTTAAATCTGCCCAACTTTTCCCCTTTTGATAACCCACACATTGCAGGTATTTGTTTAGTACACTTGCCTCCATCACAATTACATCCTTCTTTAAATAAGGTTAGTAATATTTTGCACAGTACTCCAGATGTAAATGAATAGGAAGAGATATGGGCCAAATGCTGTGAAATGGGACCACGTCCGATTTTTGGACTGAAGGTTCTGTTTCTGTGCTGTGTGATTCTGTATGATCTCACTAGTGCCCTGTATAACTGAAAGCATATTTTGTATTCAATTTGACTCCGGATAAATTATAACATTCCATTAGCTTTTCTAATTACTTGCTGTCTTTGCATACTAATCTTTTGCTATTCATGTGAAAGGACAATCAGATGCCTCTGCTTAACTCATACAAAAAACATTGAGAGAAATCTCCCCCATGGGGACACAGTGATCATAAGAGCAATGGGGACACGGAGTAGAGCATCCACAGCAAAGGTGAGTGGAGACTCCTCGGCTTTATCTCTCACAAGCTATCCCGCAAATAAGGGACAAAGGGCATCCTTTAAGATGTGCAGGATGACAGTTAATATAGGGGACAATCCTTAAATAGGAGGTAATTGGCCTTCCAGTAAAGGACCAGTAGCCCAATACCCAGAGGGAAAACACAGCAATATTTGGAAAGTTACGCAGTGGTCCTACTGGAACACCACTTTGATGTATGAAGAATGTGTCGGACCAACTTGTGTTGTTCGCAAGTTTTACTGAGCCCAGAACCGGGTCGAGCAGCTCTGCAGATGCTGGAACCCCGTCGCCATTCTGACTTGGACAGTGGTCGGTGATCCCAGATCTGAGGCTGATGTCGGGATCGTAATCAAGGGGCTGGAAATACCCAGCCCATTGACTCTGTTCTTTGCTCTGACGAACGCTGTGTACAGATACACAGGATACAATATTTTATATATTTTTAGGGTTCTTGCAGCACAGTGGTGGTGCTCCTAGCTCTTGGCCAGGAAGCCTGGGTTCAAATCTCACATGTTCCGGCACTGTGCAATAACATCTCTGAGCAGGTTGATTAGAGAGAGAGAGAGAAAAAAAAAAATCTTGTTTAAAATTTGCAGCATATTCTGCCGATGGCTCCAGCATCTGCAGTAAGCCCTTTGATTTCTCCCCAACCCCCACCACCAACCTGTTTGGTAATGTAACAACAAAGTGTGGAGCTGGACCCTTCTACAGAAATCTGAAGAAATCTTAGGAATTTGTCCACACAAACCAACGACTCCCTGATTTTACTGAGACTGTCTTAGTTGCTGTACGTACTGACTCAGAAAATGGGCCAGCTATTAATCTCAGTTGGATTGAACTAATGCTAGTGTATCCCTTAACCCATCCCCTGCTAAAACAACCATGTACTCTTAAAGAGATAGCAAGAACTGCAGATGCTGGAGTCTGAGATAACACAGTGTGGAGCTGGAGGAACACAGCAGGCCAGGCAGCATCAGAGGAACAGGAAAGCTGATGTTTCGAGTTGGGGGGAGAGAGATAGTAGGAACTGCAGATGCTGGAGAATCTGAGATAACAAGGTGTAGAGCTGGATGAACACAGCAGGCCAAGCAGCATCGTAGGAGCAGGAAGGCTGACGTTTCAGG